GCCTGATTTTAAAATTAACGAGCTCATTGACTAAATAAGGGTCATATTTGAAAAAATAATAATAATAATACTTTGAAGAGCTGCACAAAAAATATATTTTAAATTAGAATACATTTCAGAAATAGACCATTACAGAGAAAAAAAAATACAGTCTTACGCTATAAAAAGGAGAATTGTTGGAAGGAGGGATAGTGATAAGAACCACAATAGATTTGACCAGAAAAATAGAGAAATAGATATAGAAATTGCTATTGACACAGAAGTGGAGAGCATAACAAACCAATTATAATAACAAACCATTAACCACTAACCATTTATTACATTGATATCTAATTACTAACACAATTCTCTCATATATCACATTGTAATACGATATTGTCAAAAAGTCTTTTTCAATCAGTGGAATCAACATTAACACAAAAAAAAGAGAGAAAAGTTGTAATTAGATGGGATTCGGTAGTTTGCTCCGCTCAGGCAAGACCTTTGTGTTTGGTTGGTGGACATATTTGTCTTTCTCTTTCTTCTTTTTATCAAGTTAAGGGTCTTTCACGTCTGAATTAGTATTTGCATTGCTCTGATTTGTAATGCAATTTTTGTTGTTAAAAAAAAAAAAACAGTTAGTAAAGGTTCCCTATTAAACACCAGGCCTCGTTCGTTTCGCTAATTCTAGTTTAGAATTCGAGTTTTGCTACAGTAAAAAGCTCTCACAAACAGTCACATTTAACTTTTTTGCTATAGTAAAAAACTCTCACATAAAATCACATATTAACTCAAATTCTAAACTCGAATCAACGAAACGAACGAAGCCCATTTGCTATCAATATGAAAGGTGGAGAAATGTATATAGTCAAAACACAAAATAGTCTTTAAGAAGAAAATAAATTAAAATGAAAATGAAACTACGTAATTCATATTTTTTATATTCGTTTTGTACAGTTTTAACTGTCAAATAACGAACAATACAACGAAATCAAACAAAGTAAAAAAACTAATAATAATAGGACCAGGCACCGTCTAAATATAACACTAAAGTAGAGTTTATCCATGGCCTGGTCACAATGAAGCTTTTTAGCTTGTTCAGAAACCTTCTTTCTTTTTGTAGGATTCTCTTTCTTTCTAGTGTTGCATTCTCCCAATATATTATATTTTATTTGTAGGTTTATGGTCTCAAACAATCTGAAAATTCGTTTGGGTTGATAACTTTTTGTGTTCAATCTAAACAATCTGAAGAATTGTTTTTTTCTTTTCTTTTTCTTGTTTTAGCAGAATGTTTAAAAGTACTTGTTACTAACTCCTAAACAATTTTTCGCTTAATTACAAGTCTGTTGATTACCGTTACTTCATGTGCAATTCTGCTATCAAAAGACTAATTACTCTCTAGATATGTTAGCATATCTTAGAGCAACTTTAACCATGCTAGCTATTTCATGTTTTTACGCAAAATGACTAATGATTTAGTTAGAATTTAACTTTTATTCACCCCAACTATTAGCTAAATGGTTAGCTATTTTGGAGAATTCATTTCACACTAACTAAATATAGCTAGTAAGAAAGGACTAACCATATGATTTTTTGTATTATTTTGTTCTTTCAAATCATAATAACTTGTTCTTTCAAATCATAATAAATGCAAAGGTTATTTCTAAATTAAATAAGCTATTTATATTTTTAAACTCAATAAATATTAAGATAATCTATGCTTAGGTAAAATAGAGAGTATGGTCAAAATGTATCACCCAAAAATTATTAGCTAAAATAACTTTTTAGCCATTTTAACTAAAATTAACTTAAATTTTGAGGGTTCCCTTGGAGATGTTCTTACTCAACAATACTCAACGATAATGTTTTCTTACTCAATAATTTGTAGACATAAGCAAACGTTTACTTTCTGAGCATTTTTTTAATTAATTTCTGTGACCATAATTCAAAACAAAATCATTTAATAAATCGATAAATGAGTACCTTGTGTGTAGCGGTAAAATTAATCTGCTGATTAACTAAAGAACAATGTATATAATTGACTAATATGTATAAGAGAAGTTAAATTAAATAAAATTAATTAATTTGAAACCATTTTAATAGTCTAAGAAATATTATGATGTAACTTTTAACATAAGATATATAATAATTTTATATATAAAAGATTAGTATTGTTATTACACATCCGTCCGACATAGGTAACAGATTTAGACTTTTAAGGCAGTATTTTTATAGTTACACTAGGAGATTGAATTTGAATCTAATCCTAAGATACTATCAAATAATTTAAACTAAATACTTATCTCCTAATAACTAATAATTCAAAATAAACATAAGATATATAATAATTTTATATATAAAAGATTAGTATTGTTATTACACATCCGTCCGACATAGGTAACAGATTTAGACTTTTAAGGCAGTATTTTTATAGTTACACTAGGAGTTTGAATTTGAATCTAATCCTAATATAATATCAAATAATTTAAACTAAATACTTATCTCCTAATAACTAATAATTCAAAATAATTCAAACTTTGAACTAAAAGATAATCACTAATCTAATCTCTAAATTCTAAAGATAAACTAAATACAAACTAATTTAAATTTAAATAAATTAATCATCCTTATCAATAGGTAATTCCCGTATACATGTCCTCCATCAAAAGGCTAACCCACATATTCAATCTCCACAAGCAATCTTAAACTTCTGAGACTATTTCAGAATTTAAATGAGCTCGAATAGGCTATTTCAGAATTTAACGCCCACTAATATTATTCATTCTGGATCAATTTGCTACAGTATGCGATTTTTTTCTCTAAAAAAGTTTTCAAGACGTATCCAAATAGTACATGCAAGATTTTACTTTCTGTACAGATTTCAACTTCAACGGCATATTCAAACGCCATTTTAAATTTTAATTTTGCGTTGCTTATATTTTATAATTCAAATAAAAAAAATTCAATTGTTGCGATTTGAACTCTCGAACCAAACAAACAAGAATCATAGGAATTATTTTTATGTTTTTCAACATGTGAAACTACTAATGTAATTATTTGTCAATGACATAATTTTAAACATGACAATGTCCCATATTATTTTATAAGAAAATATTATTTATTCCACCTTTGCTTTCTTATTAAATAATAATCACTTGTTAATTTTATAGTCACCGTTTGCTTGCTCGTGAGTAGAACGTGTATAATTTTAAACTTTAGCTTCTAGAATTTCTTAGCTATATATATTATGGAGGCAATTAGTAGCCTTTACGAAAAACAAACTGATCAAATGATCTAGAATTTCTTAACTAGCTTAACAAGCATAACAAACCAATTCTAATAACAAACCATTAACCACTAACCATTTAATACATTGATAACTAATTACTAACACAATCCTATCAGATATCACATTATAATACGATATTGTCAAGAAGTCTTTCGAATAAGTGGAATCAACATTAACCAAAAAAAAAAAAAAAAAGAGAGAAAAGTTTTTAATTAGATGAGATTCGGTAGTTTGCTGGGGTCGGTCCGCTCAGGCAGACCTTAGTATTGTTCTGATTTAAAATGCAATTTTCGTTTTGAAAAAAAAAAAAAAAAATAGTAAAGGTTCCCTATTAAACACCAAATTAGCTATCAATACGAAAGGTGGATAAATGTATATAGTCAAAACACAAAATAGAGTTTAAGAAGAAAAGAAATTAAAATGAAAATGAAGCTACGTAATTCATATTTTTTATATTCGTTTTGCACAGTTTTAGCAGTGAAATAACGAACAAAACAACGAAATCAAACAAAGTAAAGAAACTAATAATAATAGGACCACGCACCGTCTATATAACACTAAAGTAGCGTTTATCCATGGCCTGATCACAATGAAGGTTTTTATCTTGTTGAGAAACCTTCTTTCTTTTTGTAGTGTTGCATTCTCCTAATATAGTGATATTTTATTTGTAGGTTTATGGTCTCAAACAATCTGAAAAATCGTTTGGGTTGATAATTTTTTGTGTTCAATCTAACCAATCTAAAGAATCGTTTTTTTTTTCTTTTTTTTAGCAGAATGTTTAAAAGTACTTGTTACTAACTCCTAAACTATTTTTCGCTTAATTACACGTCTGTTGGTTACCGTTACTTCATGTGCAATTCTGATATCAAAAGACTAATTAATCTCTCTAAGATGTGTTAGGCAACTCCAACCATGCTAGCTATTTCATGTTTTTAGCCAACATGACTAATAATTTAGCTAGAATTTAGTTTTCTCTACTCCAACCATTAGCTAAATGATTAGCTATTTTGGAGAATCCATTTCACACTAACTAAATATTGCTAGCAAGAAGAAGGGGCAAGTCATTTGATTTTTTGTATTATTTTGTTTTTTCAAATCTCAATAAATGCAAAGGTTATGTCTAAATTCAATAAAGTTATTGATATTTTTAAATGCAATAAATATTAAGATAATCTATGCTTAGCTAAAATAAAGATTATGGTCAAATTAAGTGTGTCACCCCAAAAAATTATTAGTAAAATAACTTTCTAGCTATTTTAGTTAAAATTTAACTAAAATTTAGAAAGTTCCCTTAGAGATGACTCAACAACAGTAAACGATAATGTTTTCTTACTCAACAATTTGCAGGCGTGAGCAACGTTTACTTTCTGAGCATTTTTTTAAAAAATTTCCGAGCATTTTTTTAAAATTTCCGTGGACATAATTCAAAAAAATCATTTAATAAATCATTTACCTTGTGTGTAGCTTTAAAATTAATCCGCTGATTAACTAAAGAACATGGTACATAATTTACTAATATGTATAAGACAAAAAGAATTAAAGAAAATTACTTAAGCATCTAGAATTTTATAGTCTTTGCTTTGTTATTAAATAATAATCACTTGTTAATTTTGTATTCAACGTTTGCTTGCTCGTGAACTTAACCATCTAGAGTTTCTGAGCTATATATGTAATGGAGGCAATTAGTATCCTTTGCGAAAAACAAACTGATCAAACGAATTGATCAAGAAAAATGAAGTACTTTACTTTTTCTTCGTTCTTTGCCAAAATTATCATCTTTCTTTTTCCATATGCGTTGCTAGCTTCCAGTGATCACACTCATGAACACTTTCTTCAATGCCTCACCACTCGTATATCCAACCTCACCTCCACAAATGAAACCATTATCTATACTCAAAATGATGCGTCATATTCTACCGTATTGAATTCCTCCATACAGAACCAACGTTTCAATACTGAATCAACCGCAAAACCTTTCGCTATCATCACACCATTGAATGTCTCCCACATCCAAGTCACTGTTTACTGCTCCCAAAAGCATGGCATGCTAATCAAAGTTCGAAGTGGTGGCCATGATTATGAGGGTCTTTCTTACGTGTCCAATCAGCTCCCTTTTATCATACTTGAGCTGAGAAACCTAAGCTCGATTAGTGTTGATGCGGAGGGCAAGTCAGCATGGGTTCAAGCTGGAGCTACACTAGGTGAGGTTTATTATTGGGTTGCCAATAAAACTGGAAATATTCTAGGCTTCCCCGCCGGCGGTTGTGGCTCTGTGGGTGTTGGTGGACATTTAGGTGGAGGAGGCTACGGGTATTTGGCGCGAAAATATGGGCTTGCAGCTGATAATGTTGTTGACGCGGTAATAATCGACGCCCAAGGTAGAATTCTTGATAGGAATTCTATGGGGGAAGATTTGTTTTGGGCCATACGTGGTGGTGGAGCAGCAAGCTTCGGAATCGTTGTTGCATGGAAACTTCGACTAGTTCCCGTGCCATCAACAGTGACTGTGTTTAAGGTCCCAAGGGATATGGCCGACGATGCAACAAAGAAGCTCGTACATCGATGGCAACGGCGTGCCCACAAAGTCGATGAGGATCTAACCATCTTCATCAGGTTCTTAACCGTGAATTCTACAGATAAAAAGGGGAATAAGAAAATTGTGATACAACCTAACTTCATGACCACGTTCCTAGGCGGTGCAGATACATTGCTTCAATTGATGCAGAAGGAGTTTCCTGAGATGGGTTTGGTAAGAGAAGATTGTACCGAATTGACATATGTCCAATCCTTTCAGTATTTTTATGCACAGGGAAATGGATCCTTGGATGTTTTACTTGATAGGACAACTCAGTTCAATGATTTGGCATTCAAAGTGAAATCTGACTATGTGAAAGAGCCTATTCCAGATGACGTATTAAAAGGAATGTTAGAAAGGATGTATGACGAAGAGGTAGGAAGGGTTTTGATTGATTTTTATCCTTACGGAGGGGAAATGAACAACTTCTCAGAATCTGCAATTCCGTTTCCACACCGAGCCGGAAACATATTCAATATTCATTATCAAGTGACTTGGAAAGGAGAGTCCAAAAAGCATCTAAGTTGGATAAGAAGACTTTACAATTCCATGACTCCGTATATGTCAAAAAATCCAAGAACTGCATATCTCAACTTCAGAGATCTTGACATTGGGATGAATGAGAAAAGGAGTAACACCACAAGTACCCTTACTCGTATAGCAAAAGCAAATATTTGGGGTACTAAATATTTCAAGAATAACTTCAACAAGTTGATTCAGGTGAAGACAAAAGTTGATCCAGCTGATTTTTTTAGAAATGAACAAAGCATTCCATCTCTTCTTAGCCCTTAAAAGGTGATTAGATATCATTGTGGATTAAATTATAACAATAGCTTTCTTATGTTTTCCTTTCCAAATAAAGGTGTCCTTGTCGGGATTGACGTCCTGAAAGTATGATATATAATAAAAGACTTCATTATTATGTGAAAAATTTCATTATAGTGTGCATGTATCATTGAATGTTTTATGAATATCATTGAAAATTTCACGATTATTTATGTGATCTTAAATATTTTGTATAAATATTACATATATACTAGTAGATAATATTTAAGGATAATAATCGAAATAAGTCCATAATGAATTTGATTAAAGTTCGGAATCTTTAATCAAGAACATTACTAATAAATGTCATTTCTATTAATAATGTAATGAGCTTATTTGCATCGTTAATATGGAGAGATATTGAATGAGTATATTTTACATAATGTGATTATGTAGGACCGGGACAAAACGCGAATTGAAGTCCTAATAATTTTCGTTAAGTATGGAAATAAGAATCGAGTCTACCAATAATCATATATAGAACAATCTCAATCCTGAATTATTAACAGACTCATATTTATGGAATTGTGTTTTTTAACTTACTCGATACGGATTTTGAGACACCTAAATCCTATTCCTTGCATCTTGGAGACATGATTAAAGAGGTAGTCAGAATGTTAAAATACAAGATGGAACCTATTCCTTAAGACATTAGTAGATAAATAATTTTCTTGCCTTATTGATTCGGTACTTGAATTAGTAGGAGCTCCAATTCATGAACTCGTTTCATACAATCACTATCAATTAAGAATCAATGGTACTCAACAATAAAGAGATAATTAGAGAGGTTAATGAATTTCACCTAACTCTAATTATGAATTATTTATTAAAGATTAATCTATATATAATAGCTATATCAAATGGACATTCTACAGATATAATTTTTTATAACATTGAGAGTACAATTCCAAGTTTATAGTGGAGTAATTTTAGAATTCATTGATTAATTTATTAATTCATTAAAGAGCTTGATATAATTATTAATTTTATTAGAGCTTGATATTATATGTTTCATAAGTTCTCGCGTCATTCTTATAATTTTTGCTTGACATAAAGGTTATTATGGTAATTTAAAATTATAGAATTTTAAACTAAATCACTCAATAAATTATTTATGAATTATTTATGAATTAAATAATACGATTATTTAATTAAATAAAGTTTGAAATTATCTCTTCCAATGCCGCATGATAGGCGTCATCGAGACAGTATCTTTAGAAGTCTGAACTACTAGAAGATAACTAGATTTGATGAAGTGTCTCTTCCAAATTTGATTAAGTAGGAGTCTGGGATTACTAGATTTGATGAAAATATCTTTAGAAGATAACTATCGGTCATTATTGAGGAGTCTGGGATCGAATTTATAAATAGAGGTGAAGAGAAAATGAACAAAATTTTAGTCTTCTGATAAGTCGTTGTCACACCAGATCTTAGAGCCACAAAATCAAAGCCACGATCAGCGACGAGGATCTCACCGGGTTGTCCATAGCTTTTCCGATAAGGAATAGCACAGATCAAGCAAACGCCAATTTGATGCTTCTCACAGATCTGAAATCTGAGTTTTTTCATTGATTTTTGTGATTTTTATGATATCTGAGATCTGAGTTTGGATTTTTTTGGGTGATATTTGTAGTTTCTAAGATATGAATTTTTGGTGGATTTTTTGTGTGTGTAAATTTGAGATCTATGATTTTTGTGAATTTGATAAATATTGTCTTTACCATTAAAATTTAATTCTCAATTCAGTAAATACCATATTTACCGGTGAATGCAGTATTTAACGGTTGCAAGAGTCGATGGCCAGATTTTCAAATAAATATGGTATGTATGATACTTATCAATCGCCGGAGCATATCATCGGATTTTCAGATAACTATGGTAAACGTGGTATGCACCAATAAATATGATATTTACTAATAAATATGGTATTTATAAATTGCTGAAGCAGGTCGTCGGATTTTTAAATAAATATAGTAAATATGATATTTATAAATAAATACAGTATTTATCGATAAATACGGTATTTACTCACCCTCGGAGTT